AATGGGGCCTTGTATACAATCTCATAGGCTGAAGGTACCTCATCAACAAGGAAGCAGAAGTTCAGAGAAGGCATACAGCTATGAAGTAGTAGGGACGGGATATGAACTTGGGGCTGAGTCCAGAGCCTGTGCTAACTCCAGAACATAATGCTGTGCCCAAAACTTCTGTATGCACAAATTGGACAGGAAACCACACCTTTACCTGGAGATCAGAATACAAAGCTAGAGCCTTCAACCTCCTCCTGCCCTTACAGGTCTGTATGATGGCAAGGGGATGACGGTGAGACGCTAACTAAGGCACAGTGCTTGGAGGAGGCTGGCTGCCTGGTGAGCCAGAGTTGGGCTCAAGATACAGAGGGGGCAGCCTTGACCCAGGTCATCTGCCAGGCTTCAGAGGTAGTACCAGGAAAAGCCTCCAGAGAACAGTTGAGAGGGACAGAGCTACCCCTCAGCTTCCTGACACTGAAACCCATGTTGTGCCCAGGGGCATTTATTTGAATGTGAGTCACCAGGCAGTTTCATGCTACAATATTTCTAAACTTAACAATGTGGCAGCTATAGGCCAGGAGGTGACAGGTCCCCTTTTCTTGCCAGCCTTACAGGGAAATCTTTGAGTTCTTCATAGAGGACTTTAAAACGTACAAGCCATTGCTGTCTTCCATCAAGAATGCCTATGAGGTGATGCTGGGTAAGACTGAAGCCTCTATGCCTGGGTCCAGCCTGGAAGGAATGGAAAGGATCCAACTCTGACCTTGTGGGGTTATACAGCAGTGTTGGGGCAGCTACTAATTAGGCCTTGAGGTCACCAAGCCTTGTTCACCCTTTTTGCTTACACTGTCCTGTGATAGAGCACCTGACCACCTCCTGTCCTTGGGAGTATTGGTAAGGTAGTATCCGTAGGAAAGAGAGCAACTTTACTATTGAGAGTGACGCCCAGGAGGGAGTGAGTACCTCAGGGAAGTAATGAGGCTCCCCAGTCAGGCTTAGGAGGTGCTGGGCATGGTACAGCAGCAGGACTAAAGGCTATAGAGAGAAAGGGCGTAGATGAAACCCCAGTCCTCAAATAGACTATGTCTCTGGTTTAAACATAAATGCAGGAAGGCTTCAACCAGGGGCCACGTTTTGAACAAGGCATGCATAGACTCCTGGAGTTTGCAAGGGACATAGCCACTTACTGTAACCTTGGATCAATGTCTCCTGGCTGTTCGCTCTCCATGGTCTCAAAGGGAGTCTTCTACCTGTCCCTGCTTAGCCCACCAGAGGGAGAAGATTCGGGCTCTGGAGCCCCTGAAGGCCAAGCTTGTCACTGTGAATGAGGACTGCAACGAGAGGATCCTGGCCATGAGAGCTGAGGAGAAATATGAAATCTCCATGCTGAAGAAAGAGAAGATGAATTTGCTAAAACTCATTGACAAAAAGAATGAGGAGAAGATCTCATTGCAGAGTGAGGTGAATGGGAGTAGGGTGGTGACCAACTCCCTGAATTACTGTTACCTCCAGCCCAGGGGTGACCTGAAGCCTTGGGCACTACTAAGGTGACCCCCTTAACTCTCTACCCTTCTGCCTGGGATGATATACTGAGCCACCACCTACCTCTGGAGGCCCTACTTTCACATTCTGTCTTCTTCATTGGCTTAGCACTGGCTCCATGTGTTGCCAAATGACAGCAGTCCTGCTTCTTGGCTCCCAGACTTTCTCCACAGGAGGAAACAGTGGCACTTTGCTGGTTTCTCAGGAATGGCCAGTCTCCTTCCTTTATCTTTTCTGTTCCCAGCTCCTGATGTGTACACCCACCCTCATCCCATCCCCTCTGATGGCTAGCTAGGTACAGTCTCTTGACCACACAGCCACCTTCCCAACAGGTGTCCAAACTGAGGAAGAACTTGGCTGAGGAGTACCTGCACTACCTCAGTGAGCGAGATGCCCGCAAGATCCTCATTGCAGACTTGAACGAGCTGCGGTACCAGCGGGAAGACATGTCACTAGCCCAGTCCCCAGGTAAGCCTAAGGTGGGTTTCTCTCCCCTGAGAAGGCACTAGGGAGTCTCGCCACTTATCCCCATTCAACTTCTCTAATGTCTCCCATTCATAATGCTGGGACTGGTGGTGGCGGCGGGGGTGGGGGTGGGGTGTTAGGATATTCTTGCTGCTGCCTGGGTCTGTGGATCTTCTGAGCTGCACTGAGAACCACAGATTCATTGTTTAAGTAGGAAACAATTGTTGGCAGCTGAGGCAGCTGAGACTCCCTGAGAATAGGACAGGCCTGGTACCCCATGTCCTGGACTTCTCTGTTTAAGCTCAAAGTTCTAAGCTATTAGTGTTATGGAAAAGACCCAGAGCTTCCCAAGTAGGGAGAGAAGGACCTGGGACAAGCCCTGAGGGGCACTCTAACCCTGCCCTGGGCTATAGAGCCAGGGTAATGCAAGCTGGCCGGTACCCTGACAGGCATCTGGGGCGAGGACCCTGTTAAGTTAACACTGGCTCTGAAGATGACCCGGCAAGACCTGACCCGCACACAGATGGAACTCAACACCATGAAAGCCAACTTTGGAGATGTTGTACCCAGGAGGGACTTTGAAATGCAGGAGAAGACCAACAAGGAGCTGCAGGAGCAGGTGCTGGTGGGCAGGCAGGTCTGGCAGGGTAGGGCAGGGTCACACAGGTGGGTAGCAAGGATCAATCACCTTGTCCATAGTTGGACAGCCTGAGAGGGGACTATGAAGAGGTCTGCAAGGAGCACGAGATATTGCTCCAGTTGCACATGACCACACTGAAGGAGCGGGACCAGTTTTATTCTGAGCTCCAGGAGATCCAGCGCACCTCTACGCCACGGCCTGACTGGACCAAGTGTGAAGGTAATGATGGCAATTGGGCTCTCAGGGAATGTTCAACCATGTGGTTTGGACTCCAGCTCCCTCTTCCCACCTGCAGATGTGGTGGCTGGGGGCCCAGATCGCTGGCAAATGCTGGCCGAGGGCAAGAACAGTGACCAGCTGGTGGATGTGCTCCTGGAGGAGCTTGGCGAGGGGCTACTCCGGGAAAAAGACTTCTTTCATGGTCTGGTAGGGGTCCCTGGGCTTGGGAGGCTTGGGGCCAGAGTCAGAACAGCCAGGTCTTGCTGCTAAGACTTGAGATTCTGGGGGAACCATCTTGGGCTCTGCCTGGGCCCAGAGATGAGCTGACACTGTACCTTCCAGGGCTATGGGGAAGCCATCCCTCCTTTCCTTCGATTTGATGGTATTGTGGAGAACAAGAAGCCAACCAAGAAGGATGTGGTAAACCTCCTCAAGGATGCCTGGAAGGAACGTCTTGCTGAGGAGCAGGTCAGATCTTATGGGCCATTTTGGCCCGGTATGGCCTCCAGAGTCCTCCGGGGAATTCCATCAAGGTGTTGGGGAGGAGGGCCAACCCACCATTGGGCTGGGTTACTAAGCAGTCATGCCTAACCCTGCAGAAAGAGAAATTCTCAGATTTTTTCTTCAATTTCCTGGAGTATCGCTTTGGACCTGGTGATGCCATGGCCTGGGCTTACACCATTTTTGAAAATATCAAGCTCTTCCGCTCTAATGAGGTCATGAGTCAGTTCTATGCAATCTTGATGGGAAAGGTGAGGTTGGACCTGGCCCTTCACCCTTTGTCCCCAACATCGGCCAGCTCTATCCCTACCACTCCAGGAAGCAGCAAATTTGTCAATGCTTCCTTCCCTGTAGAGGAGTGAGAGTGTGTACATCAAACAGAAGGAGACAGCGGTACAGTTGCTGAAGGAGATGACAAATGCTGACAGTCAGAACGAGGGGCTGATAACCATGGAAAACTTAAGGTGAGAGACCAGTCCAGCCACCACAAACTCCTGCCCAACACTTCCTCTGACAGGCTCCCAGGTGTGCAGGGGAAGGGGAGCCTGACAGGAAGGGCTCACAGCCTCAATGCTTGTTGTCCCTTTTGAGCAGTAGTGGGGCTGGCAGAGTGGTACAGAAAGATAAGTGGGTAGGGCTCAGCCAGGCCTGTTGGCCTTCGTGTCTCCCCATAGCACTGTCCTCAAGAGCACCTTCCCCTTTAAGAAGGAAGAGAGAATTCAGGAGCTGATGGAGGCAGGGGGCTGGCATCCTAATAGTAGCAACGCAGACTTGCTCAACTACCGCTCGTTGTTTATAGAGGTAGGTGTGTGTGTGTGTGTGTGTGTGAGGGGTGTGTGTATGTCAGGGAGTTGGGGTTGTCCAGGAACTCGCCCAGCCCTGCCCTAGCCTCTGCTGGACCCCAACCAACGTGTCCTCACCCTGCCCTGTGGATCCTCCCAGGATGAGGAGGGCCAGAGTATGCCCTTTGTGCAAAAGCTGTGGGAACAGTACATGGAAGAAAAGGATGAGTACTTACAGGAGCTGAAGCAAGAGCTGGGCCTGGAACTGTGAGTAACTCCTGAGGTCCTCAGGCCCACCTAGCCATAGACATGTCTTGCAGGTTGGGCCACAGGGTGGCATCTCAAGGCCTTGGATCTCCCAGTGCACTGAGCTTGTTGCTGGGTACTACATACTGCTCAAGCTCAGCAGAGGATATCTTGGGGTCTGGGGTATAGAAAGGGTCAAGGCCTATCTCTCTTTCTTTGTGGGGTAGCCGTGATAAAGTAACCATACCCAAGGTACGTGAAGCCCTGATGAACGTTGATCCCAGCCTGGACAAACAGACCCTGAATAGCTACGTGAGCCAGGCCTTCCAGCTCCCCATGACAGAACTGCCTGAGGGTGAAGAGAAGGAAGAAGGCATAGTGGAACAGCTCAAGATGGTCCTGGAACGGCTTCAGATGATTGACTTCAGGCGCATGGGGCCTCGAGAGCAGGAGGCTGCAAGCTAGGGGCGCTATGGGCAGCCTGAGTGGCCCAGTGCGCCTAACCCCTAACTTTTAGTATAAAATTATTTGTCTGAACCTATTCTCCAGGTTGTGCTGGGGAATTGAAAAGAGGGAAGGGTATTGGTCCCTCCAAATATGCACCAAAACACAGAACATTCTGTTTGTGACACTTTATTGATGGTGGGCAAGTGGGGGAGGAGACCTGGAAGAGTATGTGGAGGCCAACTGGCCCTATGTGGGGACTGGGTGAATGTTGAGGCCTGGCCACTACTGAGCAGGGAAGACAGAGTTGCCACTGAATGCACAAGGGATGAGCAGCTGCCGGTACTCCAGGGGCAGGTGCCGCTCCACAAGCACATGCAGGGAGACTTGGTCGTTGACCAGGCCCTGCCTGTAGCAGAGGATAGATATAGAATCAATGTCAGCACTCCCATGCCCAGCACCTCCCTGCTTCTGCCCACTTACCGATGCATCAGCAATTCCAGGTCCTCTGGCCTCACAGTCTTGCGGCCAGCATGAGAAGCAAACACCTCCAGGTCATCACAAAGATGCTGGAAATACTTGTCCAGGCTGCCAAAGAGGGTTGGGGTAGAACAGACTGAAAAGACTGTTCATGATCTGAGGGGCTCGTCTCCCCACCCTGAGTGTTCAGGACTCACCACTTCTCCACCATCTCAAGAGCCTTCTTCTCCATGGGCATCCTAGCATAGAAGCTGAAGAGTTTCACATAGTGGCTCAGTCCAGTCTTGTAGGGATCTTGACGGGGCCTGGGGCCAAGGGTTCTGGCCCTGGGAGGAAGCCTGGTTGGGAGAGGCTCCAGATCCTCTGAAGATAAGCTGGGGGCAAGAGTGGTTAGTAAGCTAAAATGCTACATGAAGAGGTCCCTAATCAAAAACAAGTTTTGAGAGGCGCCTGGGTGGCTTAGTCGGTTAAGTGTCCGACTTTCGCTTAGGTCATGATCTTGCAGTTCGTGGGTTCAAGCCCCGCATCGGGCTCTGTGCTGACTGCCAGCTCAGAGCCTGGAGCCTGTTTCAGTCTGTGACTCCCTCTCTCTCTGACCCTCCCCTGCTCATGCTGTCTCTCTCTCTCTCTCTCTCTCTCTCCTAGAAATAAATAAAACATTAAAACACACACACATACACACACACACGTTTTGAGGTGCCTGGGTGGCTCTGTTGGTTGAGCATCTGATCCCTGATCTTGGCTCAGGTCATGATCTCATGGTTCATGAGTTCAAGCCCTGAATCAGGCTCTGTGCTCACAGTGTGGAGACTACTTGGGATTCTCTCTCAAAATAAATAAACTTAAAAACAAAACAAAAAACCAAAAACAAGTCTTACTGGCTCCTGCCAAGACTAGGGCCCATGTGCTCCTTGGCTAACCTGGACTAATAACTCCAACTATGTGCTGAGGGGCAGTGGGGACAGAGGACCACATAGAGACCTGGTCTTTCCCTGGGGCCCTGATCCTCCAGTCTGGACCCAATGTCCCAGTCTAGACTTATTACACAAACTGGTACTTGCTCAGGCCTATGATCCTCAGGCCTCTATAGGGGCATGCCTTCCCCTCAGCCCATTGCTGCCTATTTGATTCTGCTAATCATCCTCCGGGAAGCCTTCTCTGACTATATACTAACTTAGGAACTTCGCCCTACCAAAGTTCCTCTCAGAACCTGGAAGTATGCGCCAGGATGGCAGATGTACTCAGTAAGTCTCACCAACCCCACCTCAGGGTGCTCTCCTGGGTGATCATCTGCCTACTAATGAGAAGGGGGATAACCCTGTGGTACTCAATGCCAAGCTCAGAAGCCTGCTCCCTTCCCAAGAAGCCCATGCAAAACAAAGTCATAGAATCTTACATGGCAGTGCTAGGCAGTGGGGCTGACTTAGGAAACTGAAGTTGCTTGGTTTGAAGAAACTCAGTGGTGCTGGAGGCCAATTCTGGACTTGCTGTAGAGGAAAGGCAGGATTATAGGGGGCTCAGGCTTGACCATCCCACCCAACTCTGAAGACCCACAGCCTCCTTTCCTCTTTCTCAAAGGCCCCATCTACCTCTGGCAGCCAAGAAATGGGCCCCTCAGAGTCTCCTTGACCCAAGATTACTTTGCCAGGAAAAACAACCCAGATGTATAACTCCTCAGATTAGGGAATGAATGTAGCTGTCACCCAGTCATTCCCTCATCCCTGTCCTACCAGAGATGTCCTCATCTCCTGAAGATCCTTCTGGTTCCTTGGCTTCAAAAGCTTCTGTCATTTCTGCATGTCTCTCAGACTTTTCTGTCCTGACAGATCCTTGTGTTCCTGTTGTGTCCTTCACTTCACCCATATTCAAACTTTCCTCCATCATTTCCTCTGCCTCTTCACTAACTACATCTTGTGAGGGCTCTACTTCATCTTCTCCGGAGATAGCACTGCTGGTATTTGTGAAGCTCATAGCAAGGGCATCAACCTTCTTTGCCTTTGTTGGCAGAAGTTGGGCTGGTTTTCCAGGACCTGAATCAAGGGAGAGAATACAAGCTAGAGAAGCAGTAGGCCAAGGAGGTAGCTCAAGGATAAAGATAGAGTAATAAGAGGTGCCTGGGTGGCTCAGTCAGTTAACCTTCTGACTTCGGCTCAGGTCATGATCTCGCGGTTCATGAGTCTTGAGCCCCAAGTTGGGCTCTGTGCTGACACCTCAGAGCCTGGATCCTGCTTCAGATTCTGTCTCCCTCTCTCCCTCTGCCCCTCTCCAACTCATGTTGTGTGTGTGTCTCTCTCTCTCTCTCAAAAATAAACAAACGTTAAAAAAAATTTTTTTTTTTAAAGGTAGAGTAATAAAACCCGCTCTAGCTCACTGAGAAGGAAAGCCCAGAGGCAGACCCAGGGTAGTGTACCCTGGCCCAACACTAACTCTGCTCTGAGATGTACAAGGGACCAACAGCCAGGGGGCTCTGCAGGACACACATAGGGGCCAGAGGAAGGAAAAGCCCACATACTCACTGTGGTTCTGCAGCCTAGGCCCATTGCTCTGTGTCCTGTGACTGACAGCCTTCTCAGCATCTTTAGCCTCAGTGTGAAAGAGATAGGGCAGGGAGTGGTACACACTGGGAGAATGGCCAACCAAGGGCTGGGAGAAGGGCTGAGTGTCCTCCAACACGGTGTCCGTTGGCAGGGTAGCAGCAGGGGTTCTGAGGCTGTTACCTAGAGATCAAACACAGTTGACACTCTGTCACCAGGGCCTGGGCAGTGGGCCCTATGAGTTTGCCCCAAGTGACCTTTAGAGAAAACTTCCTAGTATTCTAAGAGAGCTTCCACAGTGATCTTCCTGCTTCTTGGCCTGGCATTCCTACCCACCATGGCTTGTCCCATCCAAACTGCTCACCCACGCCTCCATTTTACTTCTCACTCTGCTCCCTCTGCCTGGAACCCTCCTCTTACTCTAGTAAAACTTGACTTTTCTTCTGGAAGCAGGCTCCCCAGTCAGTTCTGACTGGCCAGCTGATCCTGAAACCTGACCCCTATATCAATCTTCCCAAAAGTTCCAATCACCATACCACACCTTTCCTACCCTTAGCCCTCTAGCTTCTTAAGAAAGTGGGACTAAAATTGGAGCTCTATTTATACAAGGGGCATCTTGGGGCGCCTGAGTGGCTCAGTCGTTTAAGCATCCGACTTCAGCTCAGGTCATGATCTCGTGGTTCGTGGGTTCGAGTCCTGCATCAGGCTCTGTGCTGACAGCTAGCTCAGAGCCTGGAGCCTGTTTCAGATTCTGTATCTCCCTCTCTCTCTGACCCTCCCCTGCTCACACTCTCTCTTTCTCAGAAATAAATAAAACATTAAAAAAATTTTTTAGACAAGGGGCATCTTATAGAAAGGAAGCAGAAACTCTTCATAGACCTGCTAGTCAGGCTTGTTCACTGTCCTTGACCTGACAGAGGAGTAATCCTGGACTCAGTAATACCTCCCATGGAAGTAGGGGAGCTTTTCCCACAGGGTAGAAGAGGGAAATCTCAACCTTACCTGGAGAAGCCAAGGCCAGGGAAGTATCTTGCAAATCCTGCAAAAATGCACCCACATCTACAGCTCGGCGGGTGGGAGGTCTGCGAGCCAAACCAGGCCTCTGCACTGACTGTGGCTGAAGAGGTGTGGCAAAGGTCAAGTTGAGGGAACTGGTGGGAGGGAGGAGGAACAAAGGAAAGTCAGGTATCGGAAACCCAATTTTTGGGAGAATCCTCCCATCTGCCCTGGGGCTCTCATCTCTTAGAACACAGCCATTGTGCTATGAAGCTAATACTGGCAGGGACCAGTATGGTCAGATTCCATCCCAATCAATACCTCCCTCCCCAGGCCTCTCCACCAAACCCCAGAACAGACAACAGCACCTGGTGAGAGAGGAGGCACTGGCATTCCCATGAGGCTCTGCAAGAGAATTTAAAAAGAAACCATGATAAGTTACAAGGCTCATGAGAGCCCTGTCTCAGGCCTCTTCAGCCTCTCCAGAGAACAAGAGATGTTGTCCACAGGTGTTGTCCAGGATCTTACCTTGGGAGAGAGGCAGCCCCTGGTCTATTCCTTGCTGAAAGACTGACAATCTCAGCCTCCGCTTCCTCCTGCCAGGAGCCAGCAGACCTAGAGCCAGGGTTGTGGGGGGCTCGAGCTCAGGAAGTTGCAGCTCCAGGCTACAAGGATGAAACTTATCTCAGATAGGCCTGGAAGCCCAATATTCACTTCTGGGGCCCTCAAGAGGCTCCCTGATTAGAGCTGCCAACATCCCAGTGCAAGGGGAGAATTCACTATGCACCTGCCCCGACTGCTTTCCTGTTTAGAAGACTGAACCACCTGCGGTGTTGGCACTGGCTTGACCACTGACTCTGGCATCACGATGGAAGATTCTGGGGCTGCCAAAATAGCAAGAAGAAAGTAAGGTTGGCAGGGCAGGTTGCCCTGAATGAGAGATACCATGGGACTGGTGTCTAACCCTGACCAGCAAGCCAGTGTTCACTCACCAGTTAGAAGGATGTTCTTCAGCAGAGTCCGGGGTGTCTGTTCCTCCAGGTGTCCACTGGTTTGAACATGGGCCAATCTGCCAATAGACTTTGGGTGAAAGCATCAAGTAATCATCTGTTCCTTTGTCTTGAGATATCCTCAAGGTGGGCTCCAGAGCAGAGCTAGACCTCAGGGACCCCTAAATGCAGCAAGAACCCTGTAGGGGTCAGTGGGCTGGGGCACTTACCCTGGCTCTTTGGGAACGCTGTCTCACATTCATCTTTGTTGAGATGCTCAACCTCCTGGAGGAAGGTATTTCAAGTAGGGATTTCTGGGCACTGTGTAAAGACCAATGGCTCTGAGAATTAAGTAGGGTCAGTGAACTAGAGGATGCAGAGATGTGCCTTCATCAGGAATCTTGGCCTAAAGCCCTTTTCCCTCAAGGCCAAGGAACCAGAAACCACTTGCCCCTCCCCTAGCACCTATTCTGAGCTCTGTATCAATAAGGTTGTGGATGAAGGGGAACCTGAGAGTTATGGGAATAGAGAAGAACCATAATGACCCAGCTAGAGAGAGGGACTGAGGAAGGCTTTACAGAACTGAGTTTCTTAGAAGTAGAGGTTAGCCACACAGATAAGAGGAACAATTGGAAGAGCATCCGTTCCTGACATTAAAATAACAACCCAGAGAAACACCTGGGTGGCTCATTTGGTTGAGCATAAACTCTGTGTTGACAGTGCAGAGCCTGCTTGGGGTTCACTCTTGAACAGAGGGGCAGAGGCCTGTCCCTCTCCCTCTTGTGTACCCTCTCTTTCTTTTTCAAAAATAAACATTAAAAAAAATAACGACCCAAGAAGGATTTTAAATATTTTGAAGCCTTTTAAGTACTTGTCAGGATCTTTTTTAATGTTCTTTTTTTTTTTTTTTTTTTGTTAAATTTCTGAGACAGCGTGAGCAAGGGAGGGTCAGAGAGAGAGGGAGACACGGAATCTGAAACAGGCTCCAGGCTCTGAGCTAGCCGTCAGCACAGAACCCGATGCAGGGCTCGAACCCACGAACCGGGAGTTCATGACCTGAGCCGAAGTTGGACGCTCAACCGACTGAGCCACCCAGTTGACCCAGTACTTGACAGGATTTGATAGCAACTTCTACATGGGTCATTCCAGCCCTAATCTCTCCATTCCAGTCTCCCTCAGATTCCCAAGGCATAGCTCCCACCTCATCACTTATAGGTCTAAAACCTACAAGGAACAGCTCCCCAGCGCCTATAAAAGAACTGCACTGCGCCGGTCTGGCTGATGCCAACTTCCACACCCTCTGCACCATGAGCTCACCACAGCCTTCATCCAATGACAGACACCGCCACCAGCTCACGCCAAATTCCCTACTCCCTAGCAAAACATCTTCTAGTTCTTGCCTCCCGAATTCTATGTAGGCTGTTCTCTCTAGCTCCTTTCCCATCTTTCAGCTGGGCCCTCCAGCTGAAAAGGGGAGTGAATGTGCAGGGAAAGCTGGGGACCACATAGGAAGCACGGTAGATGCTTGGACACATTCTGGGGTGATGTCGAGGAAGATGGCCAAGAGAACAGGACAGAAGGCCAGATTCTGAACGCCCTTCCTTCATCACCAGAGGCCGAAACCCAAAGACACAAACGTGATTTGAGCTCTGTAGTCCCGAGACCTGTCAGCCAGGTGTTTCTGGGGGCGGCCACCAACAGCTGACCTGAGCCTAGCTAGGAGGGTGGAGCCAATTCTCAGAACCCTGAATCCTGCGCCTGAGACTCAGTTCCCCTTTCCAAACGGGGTCTCCCACTGCGACCTAACCGCCTAGTCCTTCAGGTAGGTCACATGCTCAGGCAGCGCCCTCACGTACCCAATTCTAGTACTTCGGCGTCGCTGCGGAGTGCGCGTGTCCGCGGTATCCAGCACGCGCCGCAGCAACGTGCGCGTGGTAGGCTCGCTGTCAGGGCTGTAGGTATCCGCCATCGCCTCAGCCATTCGTTCTACCAACTGCCCAGATAGGCCGCGCCACCGCCTTCCCGCCGCCGCATTTAAGCCAACTCTCGCGAGTCGGCAGGACGCGAGGTTGCCGCGCAGCCTCATGGGAGTTGCAGTTCTATCCCTACCCGCTCAGAGTTTCTTGGCGTGGTCTTTGTAAACTCTGGATTTGGAGGCACTATTACCAGGGAGTGAACCTAGGCAAATGCGTGCAATCAGTCGAAGACTTGGTTTTTTCATCTGCAAGTTGAGGATAATACCCACCTAATAGGGACTTGTACTGATCCAATGAGATAATTTTTTAAAGTTTATTTAGGTGATTTCTATATCAACTTGGGTCTCAAACTCAGGATCCCGGGATCAAGAGTCACATGTTCTACCTACTGAGCCAGCCAGGCGCCCCTCATTGAGATAATGTTCAGCTAGTGTCTGATATATAGTAGGGCGGCCCTTAATAAATAGCAGTCACTATTAGAACGTCTCTTATTCACATCTCCCTCTCCTACTTGAGTAGGCACACTTAGGCCAGGAAAAACTAATTTTATCCTATGCATGCCCTGGTCAGATTTGCATTTGTGAAGACCACTCAGCTTCAGAAGAGACCAGTTTGCAGACTCAAAGGTTAGTGGGTTGTTCGTGATGCCGCAGAAATGTTATGATCTCCAAACACGTGCAATTTTGAGATGAAATTTGGCTCTCAAAGTTCTGTTAATGCTGAGACTCTATTACCATAGTTTTCATCAAGACAGCTTTTCTTTAATTTTCATGGAAACTTTTTAAAAATGTTTTATTTATTTCTGAGAGAGAGAGCGCGAGCGAGCATGAGCAGGGGAGGGTCAGAGAAAGAGGGAGACACAGAATCTGAAGCAGGCTCCAGGCTCTGAGCTAGCTGTGAGGGGCGCCTGGGCGGCTCAGTTGGCTAAGCGTCCAACTTTGGCTCAGGTCATGATCCCACGGTTCGTGGGTTCAAGTCCCGCATCCGGCTCTGTGCTGACAGCTAGCTCAGAGCCTGGAGGCTGTTTCAGATTCTGTATCTCCCTCTCTCTCTGACCCTCCCCTGCTCATGCTGTCTCTCTCTCTCTCTCTCAGAAATAAATAAAACATTAAAGAAAAAAGTTAAAAAAAAAAAGAACTTAAGTTCTGAGTCATGAACTTATCCTTTAGCTCCTAGATCAGGTGTCTATGTGTTTTACATAATTGATTAAACTTTATATTTGCTACTTTAAAAAAAAGAAAATACTGGGTGCATAAAAGGAGGGAGGGAGGAGTAAGACAGGCAAGGAGCAGACCATGTAGGGGTCTTACAGGCTTTGGGAAGGAGTTTGGACATTAATCTATATGCAATAGGCCACTGGAGGGATTTAAGCAGAGGAATTACATAACCGTATTTTTTTTTTTTTTTTTTTTTTGGTACCCATGTGAACAACAGATTTTGTAGAGGAGGCAAGACTGGAAGCAGAGAGACTTGTGACAAAGTTGTAGCCTTTCTCTAGAGGTGACAAGATAGAGAGTGGGCAAGGCAGTGGGGGTGGAGAGAAAGCTATGCATTCTAGATATGTTTTAAGTATAAAAGATTATGTGTAGATTAGAGGTGATTTTATGTACTGGAAGGTACGATTTTATTGAGCATCATCTTCAATGTTCTGTGCATGAAGAAACGATATAAATTTGACCTCTCAATATTTTTTAAGTAAGGTAGGTCTTGAGACAGTAGGAATAGAATTCTTTCAGTAATAGTATGACAATGAAAATAGAAAATAACAGATAACAGTAACAATGATCTTTTGCTTTATCTCTACTGCACACATTTTATAAACATTTAATCATTTAACAAAGTGTGTATTCATGTTTTTACTATTGTTTATTCATCTAAATGAATGCACATCTTTCAACATGGACTGCATTTCTGAGTTTGAAGAGGTTCAAGCTGTGGATCTCACATGTTTAGGCCAGGAGGAATGGGACTTCTTTCTGGTATGGGTCTGTGAAACCCGTGCTAATAACCATGGAGCACATTAACTGTGAACAGAAAGTGCAGTGGTAAGGTTTGGATGTTGAACCAAATAGTTCACTTCCCATTGTCCTGTATTTTTCCAAAACATTATTTTTGAAAGTGAGACAGAGCACCAATGGAGGAGGGGCAGAGAGAGAGACAGAGAGAGAGAGAGAGAGAGAGAGAGAGAGAATAAGAAGCAGGCTCCAGGGTCTGAGCTGTCAGCACAGAGCCCAACACCAGGCTCAAAATCACAAACCGCAAGATTATGACCTGAGCTGAAGTTGGATGCTTAACCCACTGAGCCACCCAGGTGCCCCATTTAAAAAAAATTTTTTTTATGTTTCCAAGACATTTTACGTATGGGTTCCTTTTATAATAAAACACTAAAAAAAGTAACAACTTGGGGGTGTTATTTTTTTTCTTTCACAAGCTTTTAAATTAAAAAAAATTTTCTTGTAGTTTGTTTTTGAGACAGAGAAAGGTCACGAGCAAGGGAGGGGCAGAGAGAGAGAGGGAGACACAGAATCAGAAACAGGCTCCAGGCTGTCAACAGAGAACCCTGTGGGGGGGCTGCAACCCACGAACCGTGAGATCATGACCTGAGCCTAAGTCAGACGGTTAACCGACTGAGCCACCCAGGTGCCCCTCACAAGCTTTTAAATAGCCGAATCTTTCTTGTTTTTATATCAATACTTAGTATATACTAGTCTTCAATTTCACATGGTTTGTAATCATTAGGAAAAAAAATTATGAGCGAGAGTCAGGAGAAAGGGTGAAGAAAGACAAGAGGCGGAGAAAGGGGGAACTCAGCAAAGGAGGGCTGCTTGTAATTCCAAGAAATGACTGCCGGGCCTCCTCCCTGGTTTTCCACAGCCTCTCTTTTCCTTTAGAACATTTTCTCTTTAGAAGTAGAGGACTGGGAAGGGTCTTGTTACAATACAAATCTTGGCCATCCTGTCCTTCAACACCCTTCAACAGCTTCCAGTCCTCTGCACAATTAAATCCCAAATATTTTAACTTAGTCCAGTTTGGTATCTTTTGGCGCTCCTGCTTTCTTCCAGGCCTTTTAAAGGCGGAGCCTAGCTTTCTTGCCTCAGGACCAGTTACTCCTCCCCACTCAGCTTTTCACTGTTTTTTTCTTCCTGGGTCTCCGCCTCCCATTTTTTCCTCTGTACTGTTCACTATTTTGTAGAACTTATTTCTGTGATTAGACATCCATTCGGGTGCATTCACATCTTTTATCCAAAAGTCGGACCCTCATCCCTCTCAGCAGTCAGGCCTGGGCAGTCAGCTCCAACAAGGTTCTCAACTCACTGCCCTGTGCCCGCCACATAGTAGGCACCTATTGGTGACTAGTGTTTAGGTCAATAAGTGAGTCAACGCAAACAGCGGCTGAATTAGGGGAGTCCTCCACGCAGAGAAAGGGCTCCTTAGGTCTTTCTGGGCACTGAAGCCCAGACTCCCCCACCCAAACCCCGCAGGAATGCCGTCGACTCACAGCCGCCGCTGATAGCGAAACCGCTTCCGGCAGGGAGCACCACCTTACCCAAATCCTAGTTCCCGGTAACCCGAACTTTCCCGTAGGCGGCGCTCCAGGCCACGGCAGCCGAGTTCAGCGCAAGGCATTGCGGGATTTGTAGTTTTTGTGGCAAATACCCATGGCGCTTGCGCACTACAGAGGCGTGCGCCGCCCGCCCCCATCGGGATTCCAGGTCCTTGCGAAGGGCGGTCCAGCAGACAGCGTTGCAACCAAATACGCCCCTGTAATCGGCCGGGGATGAACCGGGTGGGGGTAAGAATCTGTTCTGCGTGGGCCGTCGCGGCGCCCAGGAAAGCCGCTATAATTATCACGCCCCCGCTCCGGAAGTGAGCAGCTTCTGGCGTGGTGCATTGTGGGGGGCGTAGTCCTCCTTCCCAGGCGGTCCTTCGCGGCGTCCCCGGGGCCGACTCCGGAGCGCAGGCGGGCGGGCGGCCGGGCGGGCGGCGCGGGCCGGCGGAATCGTATTCTGGGCACGGGGCGCCGGGCCAGGCCGGCTTTGCCGGGCGGCATTAGTGGGAAGCCGCCTAAAGACCCGCCCGGCGCCGCCCGTCGAGGGGCGGGCGGCGGCAGACCGACCGGGCCGTCGAAGGGCTTAGGAGGCTGGTGGGCAGGGCCGGGCCGCGCGGCGCAGCCATGCCAGGCTTTACGTGCTGCGTGCCGGGCTGCTACAACAACTCGCACCGGGACAAGGCGCTGCACTTCTACACGTTCCCCAAGGACGCTGAACTGCGGCGCCTCTGGCTCAAGAACGTGTCCCGCGCTGGCGTCAGTGGGTGCTTCTCCACCTTTCAGCCCACCACGGGCCATCGTCTCTGCAGCGTCCACTTCCAGGGCGGCCGCAAGACCTACACGGTGCGCGTCCCCACCATCTTCCCGCTGCGTGGCGTCAACGAGCGCAAAGTAGCACGCCGACCCGCCGGGGCTGCAGCCGCCCGCCGCAGGCAGCAGCAGCAGCAGCAGCAGCAGCAGCAGCAACAACAACAACAGCAGCAGCAGCAGCAGCAACAACAACAACAGCCGCCGCCGCAGCAGCAGCAGCCGTCGCCCTCAGCCTCCACTGCCCAGGCCTCCCAGCTGCAGCCGAACCTAGTGTCTGCCTCTGCTGCTGTGCTCCTCACCCTTCAGGCCGCTGTAGACAGCAGCCAGGCTCCGGGGTCCGTGCCCCCAGCGCCCACCACTCCCACCGGCGAAGACGTGAAACCCATCGACCTGACCGTGCAAGTGGAGTTCGCCGCCGCCGAGGGCGCAGCCGCCGCAGCCGCCGCGTCAGAGCTAGAGGCTGCTACAGCAGGGCTGGAGGCCGCAGAGTGCCCTATGGGTCCCCAGTTGGTGGTGGTGGGGGAAGAGGGCTTTCCTGATACTGGCTCCGACCACTCATACTCGTTGTCGTCAGGCACCACGGAGGAGGAGCTCCTGCGCAAGCTAAACGAGCAGCGGGACATCCTGGCGCTGATGGAGGTGAAGATGAAGGAGATGAAAGGCAGCATCCGCCACCTGCGTCTCACTGAGGCCAAGCTACGAGAAGAACTCCGCGAGAAGGATCGACTGCTGGCCATGGCTGTCATCCGAAAGAAGCACGGAATGTGAACGGGGTCCCCCCTTTGGCTTGCTGGACTCCTGGACCTAGAGGGACCTTGGGCCACGGCTTTTGAAATCCCCTATATTCCTGGGATACTGGTTGACAGTACTGAAGCTTAGGGCAGCTGGACTCTTTTGCTGGTGACCTAACACCCTCTCTTGTTTTCTCCTGAAGCAAGGTCCTGAAGTCTGGGACCTCAGACTCTGCACAGGTGACACCAGCATTTATGACTTTGCCCCCACTCCTCACCCCTAGTTTATGTTGCAGGTTCTGGTTAAGCAGAGGCTTCAGAACCACTGAACTTGAAACTTAACCCCTCAGAATGCAGGTCGGCTGCCCAAGGACTATGGGTTTGGGAAGACAACACCTTGAGGTTGGCCAGCATTGAAACAACTCTTCCGTGTGTAGTGATAAGAGATCCAAGTAACATCAGTTCTCCTTTTCCTGCTTTTCCTTCCCAGGTGCAGCCTGTGATTCTGATGGGAACTGGCAGATCTGTGCCTCTGCCTATTTGGGACCTCCCTCCCCAGGAGGTCATCTACAAGGGGATCTAGGTGACCTGCTATTGAAGATCCAGCTTGCCAGGGACTTAGGTTTATCCTGTTATGTTTGCTACTGGTTACAAATTCTATTTTCTGTACAATTAGTCAGACTAAAGTTTTCACTGTGTTTGTTTGGCAAAACGAATTAAACAGAAAGTAAGGTTTTAACTTGGGTCTCTCCGTTTTATTTTGATAAAGACTCATTTAAGTATTCCTGAAACATGGGGGAATAGGCCTCCCAACAGGCCTCTGCCCTAGGTCTCAAGGACCAGGCTGATCCTGAGAGTAGAAATGCTTCAATGACCATGTTTCTCCATAAAGGGGCTCTGAGCACATGGACCCTGGCCTCATAAGGTTTTCAGAGAGTTCCTGGCACAGCTCACTCCAAAGAGTTTAGAAACTTCACTAAATTGTCCCAGCTGGTCAGTGGAGTAGAAGGAGCAACTGAGAACTAAACCGATTGTGACTGCTCACTTCTTTTGAGGGTTTTGAATTCTTCATGATTTTAAGCTGGGGTTGAATTTCACTCACCATTTTAGCCTTTAAGCATATTACAGCGTGACACACACGGGCTTGCAGTTACTTAAATCAGTGAAGTCCACAGTGGGAGTCAGCCATGGCTCTTGCAGGCATAAGAACTCTTGTACAGATACCTTGGCCTTAGTACACTTTCATTATGGAGGAGTTGGGATTTGTGACCCTTTGACTCCTTTTCTTGGTTGTTTCTATTCTTTAGATTGAAGATTATAGGAGTGAGGTGATATTTTTATCTATATGTTCAAGTAATTTAGCTCAAAGCCAATAGGGAAAGGTAAATATCTTTAAAGCTAGCCATATTTACTGTGTGTATTTGGGTACAAATGGACGTTTCTTGGGCTCCCAAGAAATGGGTCATAACATGACCCCCTTCTCTGTTACTTTAGAAAAAGCCACTTCCCTGGGGACTTCCGTTTATCTGTGAACTGCAATGACAAATGTTTCTCTAGTCTCTGCTCTTGGCCCCTTGGTCCTGGCAAGAAACAAACACGTCTCTGGTGGGGAGGCGGAATGGAATATAGGCTGTGCAGGTGCCTGGTTGGGGAAGGGACTGGTTCTCTGCCTTCCTAGGGCTAGTTCCACCTAATCATAAATAAGCTGGTGGAAGCACAGCACTCCCCTTAATGCACAGCTAGTAAGCCAGTCTCTCACATGTCCCCACTCTCCACTAGGAGAGCTTTCCTAAGTTCAGTGTATGCTCTTTTGTGTATACTAGCTCCTGTTTGTTGAAGGGACTTAACACTTTCTACTGTGGCTCACTTGGACCTCTCAGCAGCACTCCTAGGATAGGTGAGGGCCAGGCTCTGGCCAGGACTGTAGTGTCTGGAGGTTATGTGCACACAACCTATACAGTGTTTTAGCTTCCTGGGGGAGGGGGCATTGACAGCCCAGAACAGGGGAGGCCCCAGATGCACACAAGCAGGACAATGAAGAGTTTTCACTGGATGAGTAACAAGCATCTAGTCAGGCAAAGTAGTACAGACCTGCGATTTAATAAACAAACTTGGCCTGGTTTTACCAGTATCCCCTGCAAGCGAGTGTGTGTGTGTGTGTGTGTGTGTGTGTGTGTGTGTGTGTGCGCGCGCGCGCATTGGTTAAGGTGCAAAACTTACGGAAAATCGGGAATACAGAGATCTCGCCAGGAGGGACAGCATGGAGCAGCCAGGAGAATATTTCCTTACCTGTGGTTCACCTGGGTTAGCTGCACAGCATTTACCCAACAGCCCTGACTTAGAAACAGTCCTTATTTTGAATGTTGGCACTGCCCAGGAAACGACAAAAATAAGTGATGAAAGGGCAATAGGTGGGAAGGAGATTATTGACAATCTCGTCACTTAAATCACGGGGAAAGTTTGGGTGAGCCAGTTTTTTTCTCATTAATAAAAACGAAACTCTTAGGGGCCTTGCCTGCTGCAAAAATTACCACCACCAACAACAAAACCACCTTACGGTTATGTTTTAGAGACCCCAACTATACAAGATTTCTCTTTGTTCCCAGCTGAGCCCCACTTGAGCATTTATGTCTCCAGCCTAAGGAAAAGCCTCGACTGCTAGAAACCAGCTTTGGGCCTTGCTGGGAGCATGAATGTTGGGACAGCAGAAACTACGGGTTCCGCCCTGGCTAGCTTTAGAGAACCGCTCCGAAGAGTCGAAGAGGTGGCCGGAGCACCAAATAGGAGGGGAGATCGGGAGCGGAAACAGCCCAGGGGCCCAGGGAGGGGCGGCTGCGCCTGCTTGGGGCCTGGCCAGGCTTTCACGGAGGCGGGGCCCACTCCGAAAGACCGCGCAACCTGGGCGAGGCCAGACCAGCTGGGAACAGGCGACAACTAAGTCCTGACCCTTGCCTGGCGCCAACCTCGGGTGTTCCAGAGGCTTCCGCTAGACCACAATTCTCAGGGGCTCGCCCTGGCAGCCTCCCTCCCTGGCTTAGCCTCACCTCCCGCGCTGAGGGCCGTGTCTGGTCCCCGGCGCATAGCACACCGGGAACTGTAGTTTTCTCCTGGCGCACCTACGCGAGAAAGGAGGTCGGGGGAACTGCGTTTCCCAGAGTGCAGCGGGGTAGCGAGGGAAGGCAGGGGGGAAGGGACAGTCGGTCGCAGACCGCGCTGGGTTGCCGCCGCCGCCGCCGCTGCCGCCATCGTGCCAGCCCCTCGGGTGAGTGTCGGGGCTAGAGCGCCGGGGCGGGGGCTGGGCCGCTGGAGCCGCGCTCTGGGCCGTCTGGAGCCTCCGCTGCCAGTCTCCGGGCGCCCCCCACCCCCACCGGCGACCCAAAGCCGCGCGGGGACGGGGCCATGTGTCGCGCGCGGCTCCGCCTCCCGCCGGTCCTCTGAGGCGGCGGCCGGGGGGAACACAGAGACAGCCAGGCGCCTATCCGGCATTGTGGTGCCTGTAGCGGGTGCAGCGGACTGCGCTGTGGCCAGGCCTTTTTTGCTCTGGTCCAGACCACCCGGATGGGGCTCTCCGGGCCCCGCCCCGTCTGGCCTAGCCCGGCCTGCCCGAGTCGCGCAAGCTGTGCAGGCAGGCTAGCGGGACGACCCCAGCCCCACGTCCTGCCACCCGCCAGCGAAGGATCCGGGGATGGGCAAGCGCCACCCGGCCCGCTCCGGAGTCAGCATTGGGTAAGGGCGTTTTCCTGCCGCAGCCCGGGATTAGGATTCTCATCCGGTTCCCGACCATAGCAAGGCTAGGATATAGGTGAACACTTCTCTGCTCGTCTGCTCCTTGGGAGCGCACAAAACCTAACTCTGGAACTCATGCGTAGGTTCCTGTGTAGAGACTAGGGTCAGGGAATCTGGAGCGAGAGGAGGTTCCACATGGGACTTCACCCTCCTCCAGCCTTGGAGGATCTGTCCTGATGTGTTGAAGCGGTTCTGGGCTGGTAGGCTCAGATCCCTTTTATCAGAGACCTGGCCCCAGCTGTGGGTGGGTTGGCCGGCCGTGTTAGTGGCGGAGGGGAGGAAGAAGCCAAGGAGGTGAGATTGGATATGAGAGCCCCCAACACGTTATTAAACCCTATCCGGTGCATCTGCCTTTTCCAGTCATTTGCCCTCCTCCCATAGAGGAGAATGATTCCATAAGATTGGTGGTGATAAGGTGGGATTTAATGGAAGGAAAAGTAGGATCCAGGCCTGAAGTCCATAAGCCAGTGCGAAATAAGAGATTGGGCTTGAAGTGACTTTGGCGGTGGGCACATTTGGGCCACAGGGGGCTCAGATTCAGATTCTGGGCCTCTTCTGAAGCCTGAGTGGGAGAACTAGAGTTGAAAGTTGCAGAAAGTCAGGCTTCCCTCTGACTTGCTCACATCCCACTAAGTGGAGTAACCAGCAGGAGGCTGGTTGAACCTTGGGAAATTGCATTCAATGATGAATCCAATGACCTCCTTCAGTTCTGGGAGAAGAGGAGTATCTAGCTTTAGAGTAGTCTTCTGACAGGCTTTGTAAAGGCTTTCTGATTGATTGATGATCTATTAAGGGACCTGTCCAGAGAGGACCATGGCATTTTGGGAAGAGACAGCTGGTCAAGCCTTGATTCCTCTGACCCAGTACTGCTTCCGAGTGATAGTTTTTATGAGGATTAAAGATGAAGCTAAGTCTCTGTAGGCCTGGCCTCAGCAGCAAGCAGATCTCTTAAGAAAGTTGAGTTAGGCCCATAATGTAGAAAGCCACCACCTCTGGACTTTTTTCTTCCTTGACTGTTTCCCCAGGTGATGTTTTTCTGGTCATTGGGCTCTAGCTTTGGAAGTTTTCCTGAAGTTGAATTGCTTTGTCTAGTTATTCTCCCTGATTAAGGAGGGCAGGCAAAGATCTGTCCTGATCTCCTAATGAGGGCTTCCCTTCCCTCTGAACTCAGACCTCCTAGTCCACATGGTGGCCCATAAGCACATGGAAGTCAGGTACATTCAGCAGGCTCAGGAGAGGTCTGATTTGCTAGTGGACATGGGCAACAGGAGGGACTGCCCAAAGGACATACACAGGGTCCCTGTGATAGAATCTCTTAATACTAGAAGCAGCTGTTTCAAGACCCTCTGTAGATTGTCAGTTTTGGTTCTGTGTAGGACACAGGTTTCCTGGGAGTTAGGCGTATTGTTATGAATCAGTTTGCACATTCCAAGACCCTAAGTGACTTGATGACAGTGGGTTTCTTCAAGGTCAAAAAGATTCCTTCTCGAAGATTACCCAGTAGGAGGAGGAATTCCAGTTTCTCCCTCTCATTCCAATCCTAGAAGTTTTCTATAACTTCTAATCTGGGCTCAACTAGCCATTACCAGGCATCCTGACGCCCAGAAGTCCTTGATCTTTCTGGAACTTGGCAGGCCATCTGTATCTCAGAGATAAGAGGAGAATCCTGAGATTCTCCAGAATCTGTCTGCACCTTCTATTCATGTAGGGCGGCTGACTTGGAAGTGGAGTCTGGCGTCAGGCGATTGAGATGTGGCTACACAAGCCTGGGGGCAGGGTGTGAGGGGGCCTAGGTTCTCAAATCAAAACTAGGTCCTTTAGTGACATAGAGTGCACTTCTCCTCTTTTTTCTTTTTAAGTTTTTATTTATTTTGAGAGAGAGAGCATGCCTGTATGCAGGGGGAAGGGCAGAGAAAGAGAATCCCAAGCAGGCTCCATTTTCATCATGACACGGGGCTTGATCTCATGACTGAAAGATTGTGACCTGAGCTCATGTCAAGAATCAGATCCTTAGCCGGGGCGCCTGGGTGGCTTAGTCAGTTAAGTGTCCGACTTTCGCTTAGGTCATGATCTCGCGGTTCGTGGGTTCGAGCCCCGCGTCGGGCTCTGTGCTGACTGCCAGCTCAGAGCCTGGAGCCTGTTTCAGAGTCTGTGACTCCCTCTCTCTCTGACCCTCCCCTGCTCACACTGTCTCTCTCTCTCTCTCTCTCCTAGAAATAAAAAAAAAAAAAAAAGAATCAGATCCTTAGCCAACTGAGCTACCCAGGAGCCTCTGCACCTCTCCTCTCAGCCACATCTCACTTTTTTTTTCTTTAATTAATTTATTTTTTTAATGTTTTATTTATTTCTAGGAGAGAGAGAGAGAGACAGCGTGAGCAGGGGAGGGTCAGAGAGAGAGACAGAGTCACAGACTGAAACAGGCTCCAGGCTCTGAGCTGGCAGTCAGCACAGAGCCCGATGCGGGGCCCGAACCCACGAACCGCGAGATCATGACCTAAGCGAAAGTCGGACGCTTAACCGACTAAGCCACCCAGGCGCCCCTTTAATTGTTTATTTTTGAGAGAGAGAGAGCAAGTACAAGTGGGCGAGGGTCAGAGAGAGGGAGACACAATCTCAAGCAGGCTTCAAGCTCCAGATTATCAGCACAGAGTCTGACACGGGGCTTGAACCCATGAACTGTGAGATCATGACCTGAGCCAAAGTTGGACACTTAACTGACTGAGCCACCCAGGCGCCCCTGAGCCACATGTCACTTTATTCTGCTGTCTAATTTTAGAAGTGGAAGACACCTTATATTAAAAAAATTTAGTTTTCCCTTACTGGAACATTAGTATCTTGCTTGGATTTTTTTTTTATTTTCCTTTCCCACTAATGATTAGTATTATTCAGCAACCATTCTTTGGCCCTTTTTTTGTGATAGGCTCTATGCTGAAACTGAAGATAGCACAATGAGTCCTACCCAGTCCTGGTGCTGGGGAAAGGAGGTAATGTTACTATTAAATACTTAGGGTCTCTTGGCCCTGCCCAGAAGAAGGGGCTTTGTAATGATTAGAGCACCGATGAAGAAACGCTGTTAGTGAGCCCACTCTCCTATCTGCTTCCGCAGAAGCCATAGAGCAAGGCGTTCTTCCACTGGTGGGTGTAAGAAGGTCTGGGGTCCCTTGAGCAATGCTGTCTCACCACTCCAGATTGCTGTGGGTGTTGAGTCTAGCTTCTCTCTTCTATAGCTTCCTTCTCTGTCCCTGTGATCCAGGGGCCTTTACCCCTTATGTGTGCTGTACCTGCTATGTGTCAACTCCCTAAGTCCCTGGACTGGAGAGAAGCTTACCCCTGAGAAGGAGAACCTCTCCCTCATGAGAATGGTATATTTGAGGTGCCTGGGAACTCAGGGCTGTTTGCTTCAGTAAACTGAGGAAATTCTGGAATGTTTGTTTCTTTTCTTTGTTTCTGTTTCTCTTTTTTTTTTTTAATGTTTATTTATTTTGGGAAGAAAAAGAGAGGGAACAGAGGATCCAAAGCAGGCTCCACGCTGACAACATAGAGCCCGATGTGAGGCGGCTCAAACTCGTGAATTGTGAGATCATGACCTGAGCTCAAGTTGGACGCTCAACCCACTGAGCCACCCAGTCACCTTCAGAATGTTTGATTCTTCAGAGCCTCTAGGTCTCACCAGGCCAGAGACTGCTGCCCCCTAGAGTGATGTCTATGTTGGTTCTACTTGCAGAGGTAGCTTTAGACCCAGGTGAATGCAAGTACTCACTTGTCCCTATGGTGTAGTCCTACTTTGACCAGTTGAGCATGCATTCAGGGCCTTTCTGTCCTGAGGGGGATGGAATTTGCTGATCTCACAGGGCAAGAAAAGCCCTGGGCTCCATTCCCACCATTTCATTTATTACCTCTACACTTTCTGCTACCTGACATTGGCTCACAGCTGTCTTCCAATCCAAGCCAGTTTTGTGGATATTTTAATACTGGCTGTACCAGTGGCCGTGTGTGGTCTTGAATTTTTTCTTAACCTCTTGGAGTCCTGGTTTCTGCATCTATAAAATGATGGTAATCTACTAGCTTTGCAGCTGTGGGGCACAAATGAGAGAACACATGTAACTGGCTTACAGAAGAAGGTATTCCATTCAGCACCCCCGAAGACTCCGTGTTCATCCCTTTATTCCTATTCACCTCACTCTTAGAGGGTCATGGGAGTATTGGCCAGGCATGGTGACAGCAGACCATGGGGGTGGTCACTTAGGGGCTTTAGGCTCAACTGGGGAGTCAGTCCATTTATACCCGACCAGCTATTTCATGGCCTGGGGTTCAGTTCATGGATGGGAGCTGTCTAGGACAGGGTCCCCAGAAATAATCTGGGTTATATGGGAAAGAGGCTACTTAGGGACTGAGTAAGTACAGAGCAGAGGGACCAGAATGCGGATCTCAGGAATTAGCTTCTGGGCCGGCCAGGGCAGCCTGAAGGTTCTGGATCCTTCCTCCGGGCAGAAGAGGAGGAAAAGCCTCTCAGGGTGCTAGAGGGACCTACGCTTCAGGGGTCTGCCCCAGGAAAGTGTTCTGTCCTGGCCAGCCATTCAGGCACTAGACCTTGACTGATTTATCTCCAGACTTCAGGCAGGGGAATGGTGGACTAGGCAATTGCCAGTCCTGGATTGAAGCTGCTTCATGGTGTGGTATCCTTGCAGGAGGCTGAGGTAACCACCTTTCTAGTTCTTGACCTTGGGGTTCACTTTGGACCTGACTGATTCCTTGCATCTGGGTCTTGCTTTATACCCTCAGTTGATTACCCCTAACATCCCCAAATTACTGGTGAGGAGACAGGGTCAGAGGGTCACACAACAAGGGAGAGGAGGAGTTGGCTAGCGGTCAGGCCTTTGAGGGTGTGGTTGTGTGCCTGCTGTTGAGCCACAGCTGCCCCTCAGGTGCTAGGACTTTGGGGATAAGAGAGCGGGTTCGGCCAAGCCCTCCAATAGATGACAAAGGATTGTTTCTTTATGACTTGGACAGAAGGTGCAAGTAGAAGGGAGGTGGCCACTTGGCCACTTAAATTCAGTGGTTTCGCCCAGAATTTGCTCTTCAGAGAAGGAGAGCTGGGCCAGGCACCATGGGAACACGGATGCCCAGGTCAGGGAGACAGATCATAAACAAATATGTTAAGTGTGACAATCTGATGCAGTGATAAATGCTAAGAAAACAATACAAGATGGTGAAAGGAGTAACTGAGCAGTTACTTTAGACTGAATGGACAGAGAAGGTATCTGTGAGGAGGTGACATTTGAGCTGACACATATGTGACAAGGAGCCAGACAAATGAAGATCTAGGGAGAATAGTGATCTGGGTAGAAGGATCAACTGTTGCAAAGCCTTTGGGTGAGAACAGGCTCAGCATGTTCCAGAAACAGGAACATGCCCAGACTGGCTATGGGGGGTGGGGGGGCAGATGAGATGAGGTTGGACATTCAAGAGGGTAGGTCACCCAGGGACCTTGAAGGCAGGCTAAGTGGTTGAGACTGTCAGTGGAGAATGGGAAGGGAAGGCATTGGAGGGCCATAGGATGTATGAGAGTAATGGCAACGATCGATGGTGATTTCAAGGATCCCACTAGAAGCTTGGTGCATCTGCTGGCATCCCCTGCAGGCCTTGGTGATGGGTGCTCAAAAAAAGACAAACATGGGTCTCTCTCTGTATCAGCCTGGAATTTGTGACATCCTCCTCTCCCTCACTCTCCTGCCCCCAGCCTTTCCCCAGGTCTAGCTAGGCCAGAATCTATCTCTGATTTGCTGAGATGGTAGAACTGGGCTGTGACTTTGCACGTTTGGAAAAATTGTGAGATCATTCCCCCATGAAAACGCCTATTGTTTGGGTTTGGTGTGGAAATCTGCCTGGCGCCTTTGTTTGGAAGCAGAAGCCCTAGTTTGGGCCTGTCTTGCCCCTCTCTGAGAAAGTCAAGGTTAGAGGTCAGGGCTTCAGTCCTATGTGCCCAGGAGCACCTCTGTCACTGGTATGGTCTACCCATTTTAACCTCCGACCTATTATCTCTAGGAGTCCTGGCTCTGGAGGCCACTAAACCTAGTTCTGTCTACTTGCACCACCCATTAGGCTCATGGCCTTGAACAAGTTAGCTAACGTCTCTGAGCTTCATCTTGCTCATATATAATGTGGGAGTTGAGTCACACTGTGTTAGGAATGCATGTAAAGCCCTTAGCACATTTCTATACCTAATACACAATAGTAAAAATAAGATGTTATCAGGTGGACACTGCTATTTAAGTTTTGTTACTGGAAACATCCAGAATTTGAGGATAAAAAAGAAAATTTTCTATTGTCTCATGGGGTCTTCTGGGCAAAAGGTTTTAACCTGGGATCTTTGATAACCTCAGGGAGTCTGAACGATCTGAAATTATTTACAAGGCTGGGGCATCCCTACCTCTGTGCAAATTTACTGGGAGAGGGTCAAAGTTTTTGAGACATTCTTAGAGGGTCTTTGCACCCACAGAGACCTAAAGGTCAGTGAAAGCTGATGCTCAGTGGGCGAGAGGTCATCGAGGTCATTTCTGCTCCTCGAGGAGCCTGGCCTCACTCAGCCTGCGGACTGTTGGGGTGAAGCAGGAGATGGCGTGGTCAGCGGTCCTCTTGGAAGAACTGTAGGAGAAGCCGTCATGAAGGTCAGTCCCCATCCTGATATGAGGCTGCTTCTGAGCCTTGGCATTTTTCTTTTAGACTCTTCTTTCTGCAGTATATGTATTAGAATCAAGGTCAGGGCTTGCTATCCATCCTGGGGAACATCCTCCCAGCCTGGCCCAGACCCATCCCTGTGTTGCATGGGGATGGGGGGGGGGGGGACTTGGCTCCCTGCATCTTTTTCTGGGTGCAGGAATGCTGCCTCTAGCCATGAGTTGAAAGCTTCATGGGAGATTTGGAGTCAAACTGTAAATCCTGTAGTTTGTGAGCCACACTCCGTACTGAGGGAGTGGGGTGGGATGGAGTGGGTGTGGAGTGGGTGTGGCTGGAACCACACTGAACCCTCCCAGCCCAGAGCCACAATGAGGAGTGGGCCCTGGCTGTGTTGATAGGGTTTTGCATATGGGGTTGGAGTCAACATTTGAGTCTGGGAAGGAGGACCCAAATAGATGGAATCTGAGGGAAGAGTAGAAACTGACCGGGCAGATGAGAGGAGGGAGGACATCCCAGCAAGGGGACTCATGGGGTGAGGGTGGGGCAAAAAACAGTGAGTAAGCAAGCAGTGAATGAGTTCTGTTCTATTTGTGTGTGAGCTGGATGGAGGTAGGAGAGAATGGCTAGGGAGGGAGGGACAGGTGTGGATGGACACCTGTGGAGTTTCAAGATTTAATCCCAAAATGAGGCTATTGTACAGAAGAGACAAGGCCAGCTTTGTGGTTTAGAGCTCAGGGCCACAAATTGAGCAGAAAGAAAGCTATGACTTCGACCAGAGAACCCAGTATCAGCCCTGATGTACTTACTAGATGGACTTAGGGCAAGACGTATCACTAAACCTGTTTTCCCACCTGTAAAGTGGGAAGACAGTGGCATCTGACCACATGGCTATCATGATCATTACATGAAAATAAACACATCAGGGTCAAACAGGCCACAAACAAGGTTGGTATTGGCTTCAGGGACCCTACTTGGAAAAGGCCTCAATCCACATAGTTTTGAAGGTTCCTTCTCACACTTTCTGGTGCCCCCAAGTAGTCTCATTCCTTAGGAAAACTCAACTTTGCCCTGGCCTGCCTTGCCCCACTAGACCAAAATGCCTTTCTGTCCCTTTATCCCTCCGCCCTCTTCACTCCACCACTACTTCTTCCAAGTAGTTTTTGTATTGTCAAGTTAAGATACCTTAACAATATTGAAAAAGGAAAAAACACCCCCACACTTTATCTGCATCACTGCCCTACCACATGGCACCACTTTTCTTGTCTTTGGGTCAGCTTTTATTTAGCCTTATTTTCCCTCACCCTCCATATCCAGCTTCCCTGTTTCCTGCCCTTATCTCTTCTTGTGCCCAGACACTTAGGCTTTTTCTTCTGATTAGCATACTCTTTCTCCAAGACCTTCCCTGAGGGCTGCCCAACCTTCCTGAGGACAGAGGGAGAGTTGCCCCTCATCCATTCTTCCTTCTTCCCTGGAGCTCTTGGGGGCTGGACAGGGCATCTTGACGTAAGATACCTTGGGGCTGGGCCACAGTGAATGAAGCAAATGTAGTGAATACTAGAGTGGAAGGGGCAGAGATGGGGAAGGGGTATAGCTACAGTCTGACCCCTTGGAAATGTGACCAAGACAGCAGTCTTGATCCTATGCTTTTCCCACATGTTGATTTGTTTCTTGGCAGAGTATAAACTGGGACACACCTTGTGTTCCTGTGTAGAAGGCGTGCCTGGGTCCAGGCTTTCTCTTCTGCTTGTTTTAGACTTTTCCTGGACATTTCTTAGTCATCTCAGCACTGAGCTCCTATTTTTAGTGCCACCACCTCCTATGGGACCTAAAATAAAGCTGGCTCATCTTCCTGGCCCCTCGTTGGCTGAAGTATTGGTAATAGGCTGGGAGGTTGGCTGGATTGGGAATAAGCCACTGCCCCTCTACATTATCTATCTCAGCTGGCTCCTCTGGCCTTGGTTGAGGTCATAGGGACTGGAGCGAACTAGCAGGTTCCCTTGGTGAGGCTTTACAACCACTGGCAACATCAGGGCTCCACCCCCTTACAGAGGAGGAAGCTGAGGCCCTTCTTAGGGCAATGACTTGCATCAGATCCCACCACTGTTAATGGTTGTCTACTGGGGTCAAACCCAGCTCCTCACTGCTTTGGTTCAGAGTCCTGTTGTCAGGAGATGGGAAGGTAGTCAGACACAACTGCAGAACAACATACAGGTCTGCCATCATGGTATCCTTCAGTGAGATGGGGGCTTCCTATCTGAGAGTGGCCCTCATCTGGGCTTGAGTTTTCCTTCTACAACCCTTGGAGCTGTGGTGTCTATAGCTGGGAGGGGGTCTCCCTTCCCCCTCAAAGACCAGAGAAGGGTACCCCTTCCAACGGAGGCAGTGCTGGGATGGGGGTGTGTGAAGAGATGACAGCCTCCATTTTCCTTCCCAGCACCCCTCAGTATTACTCTCTGATCCTTTGAGTTTGTGTCCCCAGCTCTGAAGTGGGTATGGGTAGCCCCATCATGAAGAAATGAATGAATAGATATTACCTATGCTCAAAGAAGTAAACTGCTCCCTTAAGACTAAAATGGAGGGTCACTTGCTGTTTCATTGCAAGTGGGGACTTGAGGAGCCATCTCCCCCCAGCTCTCACTGGGTCTTCCTCCATCTCTCAATATAGCCCTGGGGCAGTGCTGATGGGACTAAGGACTGCAATAGAAGACACTACACACACAGACATCTGTAATTTCTGACCTGCAAAGTGGGGAGAATAGGTTGTTGAAAGGATTAAATGAAAAGATGTGGGGAGAATGGCGTGGTTAGCTCCTCCTTAAAAGCCCCCCCCCCCATTGGACATTGATGGGCTTGCTCTGACCTTTGTTCTGGCCTCACCCTCAGCACCCATCCTATGTGCTTCACATCCCTGGAGCCCCTTTGTTTCATTAGCCAGAGCTCCTCAAAGAAGAGGCTGAGTCTGGTCTGGGCTCCCTGCACTGGTCTGTGTTGGGAGGAGTCTCCTACCAATTCCCCAGGACCTCTCTGTTTCCTTGTAGAAGAGACCTCCCCAAAGGACTCCCTCCTCGAGGAGGCCAGGAGGGGTGGGGGTCAGTGAAGAAATAGCAACTGGCTACCTCCTGCTCCCTTGGTACCAACACTTCCCTCCATGTCTTGTTGATCTTGCAGGTCTCAGTGAGGCCGGGTGACGCTCCAGAATGGGAGACAAGCCAATTTGGGAGCAGATTGGATCCAGCTTCATTCAACATTACTACCAGTTATTTGATAACGACAGAACCCAACTAGGCGCAATTTATGTAAGTCTCCAGCTTTAGGGCCTGAACATTGTCCCCAAGGGATCAATTCACATATTGGGCTAGTGTGTCCAGTTCACATGTTCTACCAGTCATTACTGGATTTGGCTATACTCTTCTCTCTGAGCTTTTCTGTAGCACAAGGGACCTAAGGCTTAGCCCAGCTACCTGGTCTACTCATTCCCTTCTGTCATTTTCCATAAGAGTAGGGATTCTGTATCCTTGGCAGGGTGTTCTGGGCTTGCCATTTCATGTTCCTGGGAATGCCTCTGGTTCTAGATTGGGCAGCAGCAGACAGATGCTAGGGCTCATGTCGCTCTCTGGAGGTGGCACCTATGAGCATCATCAATGCAAAATGAGTTCTCCCGGAGGTCTTAGGTCCAGTTTCCTTTTGAGGGCCAAAAGGAAAAGTATTACCTAAATACTTATGGTAAACAAATGAGGTTAGTCCATGGAGACTGGTGTGTCTTTAACTCTTCTAGGGAGGCACTGTTTGGTGCTATTTTAATGATTACATATACGAAGAGCTACTTGTATTTGACCCTGCCAGGACTCAGTCACAGTAATGTGATTGATCAGGCCATTTCTAGCAGATCTGTCCAGAATGGAAATGATAGGAGTCATCCAGCATAGCCTGAGAGCCTGACTGGGCTGTGAGCAAAGCCCTCTGTGTCTCCAAAAAGTCAGGGTCAAGTCTGAAGAAAAGAAAGGGATCTTAACAGTGGAAAGCTAAATCCAGTACATGCATTATTTGGTTGTCATCATAGAGAATTTTAAAAACTTGAACTGATACGACTCTGGGATCCTGGCACTTCTGCCTTATTTGCTTCTTAAAATCAATTACAGCAGCCCTGACCCAGAGAAGAGAGTTAGCGTGGTCCTAAAAGAGTGCTTTATGTTGGGGCGCCTGGGTGGCTTAGTCGGTTAAGCGTCCGACTTTTGCTTGGGTCATGATCTCGCAGTTCGTGGGTTCGAGCCCCGCGTCAGGCTCTGTGCTGACTGCCAGCTCAGAGCCTGGAGCCTGTTTCAGCCTGTGACTCCCTCTCTCTCTGACCCTCCCCTGCTCACGCTGTCTGTCTCTCTCTCTCTCCTAAAAATAAATAAAACATTAAAAAAAAAAAAAAAGAGTGCTTTATGTATTTCATTTTGTAAAATCCTCAGCACATGTCTCTTTTAAAGATCAGGAAGCAGAAAAATAAGTAACTTGCTAACAATTATAGCTGGTAAGTAGCAGAGGCACTTTTGAGTTCTGTCCCTGAAGTCTATAGCAGGAAAAATCTGGAGGGAAGGGGATGAAACTAGTGGGTTGCATGTTGATGGTAAGGAGGGTCCCAGGCTAGGCCTTGGAAGGCCTTGTCAGCTTCCGTCCTTCCCTGACCTCATGGGTGTCCCTATGGGAATGGCCTCAGTAGAACTCAGCCTGAGCTCTAGAGATGGTAATGAACATAGAATGTTTTCAAGTTATTTCCCATGGGCTTCTCTAGAACTGGTGCTGACTGTCCACGTAGCAGGATGACTTTGGGCTGAGCCTTGACCACATATAGCCAGCCTGAGGCTCATGCATATCAGAAGCCATATAACTTCTTTGTTTTGTTTTTGTTTTTAAGTTTATTTATTTATTTTGAGAGAGAGAAAGCAGGAAAGGGACAGAAAGAGAGGAAGAGAGAGAATTCCAAGCAGGCTCCATGCTATCAGCTCAAAGCCCAACCCAGGGCTCAGTCTCATGAATTGTGAGATCATGACCTGAGCTGAAATCAAGAGTCGGACACTTAACCAACTGAGCCACCCAGGCACCCCCAGGGGCCATATAATTACTTGAATAAAAACCAGGAAATGAACTTACTAAATAGGTTTGTATTTTGTTAGTTTTTCAGAGCCTGGGCTCTGGGAAGATAGGGTATAGAGAGGTCGTTAGTAGTGTAAAGTATGGAAGCTACCTTCATTCAGTTCCCTTCTTTACAGATAGGGTAACTGAGTTTTGGACTCATTTTTCAAAACAAGGTCCTTTTCAGGGCCTCGCAGATACATTCCTTTTGCTCTGAGGCCCTGACCCCATGTTTTCTGGTTTCCAGATTGAAGCATCATGCCTTACGTGGGAAGGACAGCAGTTCCAGGGGAAAGCGGCCATTGTGGAGAAGTTGTCTGTAAGTAAGGGCCACGCCCATGCTGCAAGCAGCTACTTCCCTGCCCTGCTGGTCACAGCCCATCACCCCCTCTTTCTTTTGCAGAGCCTTCCGTTCCAGAAAATCCAGCACAGCATCACGGCGCAGGACCATCAGCCCACGCCAGATAGCTGCATCATCAGCATGGTTGTGGGCCAGCTCAAGGTAATAGTGCTGGTAGGGAGGAGTGGGCAGGCAGAGGAGAATCCTGTGCCCCTGCTTCCCTGTGGTGTGACCTGCTTATCAAGGGACACCCACCGTGTCTAGAGTTGTGTGATTCAATACAATAACTACTAGTCACATTTTTAAGTTCTATTTTAATTTTAATGGCAATTTTTAAATTACATTAATTAAAATGAAGGTTCAGCTGAACTATCTTTCAAGTGCTCCTAGTCAGTCACTGTGGCTGCCTATTGGACAGTTCTGATTCGGTTGTTACAGAAAGTACTATTGAGTACTGGTCTAGAGCCTTTTTGGAAAAGGGACAAGAGGGGTACCCGGCTGGCTCAGTGTGTTAAGTGTCCGACTTTAGCTCAGGTCATGATCTCACGGTTCATGGGTTCGAGCCCCGCGTTGGGCTCTGTGCTGACAGCCAGCTCAGAGCCTGGAGGCTCCTTCGGATTCTGTGTCTCCCTCTCTGTGACCCTCCCCTGCTCACGCTGTCTCTCTCTCTTTCTCTCTGAAATAAATTTTTTAAAGAATTATTAAAAAAAAAAAAAAAAAACAGGAAAAGGGACAAGAGGTATAGGAGCAGGGTGGAGTTGTGGTGCCAAACTATTGGGCCTTCATACTGCCCCGAGGTATACGTGGGCTTTTTGTAGGCAGCTGGTCCTAGGTGGGCCAGCTGGGTGCTGAGTGGCAGTCCCCTGCTGGAGTCCATGTTACCACTCCCTGAGCTGGCTGCTGGCTCCTCCACCTGCTGACCAAAGTAGATTCCTGGAACTCCTCCTTCTCTTTGCATTCTCCTTTCCTTTCCCCAAGACCTAGCCTCTTCAAAGCCTTCAGCTCCTCAATCCCCCAAGAACTCTCCCGGGAACTCCAACCTGTTGTGCTCCAGCAGACTAAAGCCAGATTCTTAATTTCCAAAAATCTTCTCCTCCTCCTCTCCAGAGCAGGACAGATTGGCTGTCCATTGACTGGGTCCCAGTCCCCTGGACCCATGTCATGGTAGGACTCTGAATAACAGGCCCACATAGCCTTCTCTGTAGGTTAGGTGGGGCCTTCTGAGTCAAATACAAGGGCAGAAAGATGGGGCCCATAGGCCTCTGCCATTGGTCCAAAGGGACCCGCCTGGCCTGGACTTTCCAGTCAGTTTTTCCTGCCTGTCCAACATGCCCTGCCTAGTGTTTGTGTTCGCGTAGGCCCTTGGGAGTAAAGAGGTCACTCCAGGGGCCTCAGTGCCTATTTTCCAGGCTAGGGTCAGTAAGCATTGCCCATTGCCACTTGGCTTCAGGTTCATTCTGCTGTTTCTGTCCAACTCAGAGTCCCCGAAAGACTGATTTGCCTTCTTGCTGATAATAATTCTCAGAAAACCCAGCAATGTTAGAGACAGCTCTGGTTAACTAGGCTTCTGCCTTAACTATGCTTTATCCTGATCTTCTGCAGTTTGGCTGGAAGTGTCTTGCCATTCTTCTTCCATTGCAAATGTTATATATGACATGACAGGAAACATCACCTGGTGACATTGCTTCGTTTTTGCTCTGTAGAGCTGTGATTATGGTGTGAACTCAGTTTTGAGTCTTTCTCACCTACTTGGCCACAGTCAGTATTAGCAGTAGTTTATCCTAATTGGACTAACTGGTGTAATCAGACACTAAGACTATTTAGCTTTTAGGTACTATAAGTTATGGGGTGAGCCCTCTGGAACTCTTCCAAATCAATTACTGCCTAGAGACATGGGTGATGTATTCTACAGCCTAACTGCATGTAGCAGTGTGAACATGAGTATAGGCCCTATGTGACCAGTTATCAATTCACATTCATAAATACACTTTGGCTATACTGGGATTTGAGTCCAAAACAGTAGGGCCTGATCTCAAAGTCGCATTCTCTGTCCTATTCCTCTGCCACTAAACTCCCTTCCTCTTCCTTGGCCTACTTACTGAGTCATTTTCTTTCTTTCCACAGGCTGATGAAGACCCTATCATGGGATTCCACCAGATGTTCCTATTAAAGAACATCAACGATGCTTGGGTTTGCACCAATGACATGTTCAGGCTTGCCCTGCACAACTTTGGCTGACCTCCTCCCAGCCAGGCACTCATGCTGTTTCCTCCTCCCTCCTCTTCCCGATACTATTCACACTCCTCCAGATGCTCCAAATATCATACACAAACGAGCAGGGCCGCGGTGGAAGTGGGCGCAGTGCGCTGCTGCTACTGGGGTATTGTGCATGATGTTTGGACGCTAGACTAGTTGCATCTGACAGGAGAAGTTTGTGTTGTACCAGCGCATGCCTTGGAAAGACTTAAGTAATGCAAAAGGTTGTCTCTCTCTCTTTTTTTTTTTTTAATCTACTGACAAGTTGCTCTAGTAACCCAAAGAAGTGAAGGAGAAAGCAGCTGCCTCACCGCCCAGATATTGATTTGTTCGGATGTTTCAATGCCTCATGATACAATAAAACCACAAAAATTTTCTTAACAGTTTAAATTGTTTTAATGAGTTTAATAGTTGGCTGGGCATCAATAACTACCCTGCCCCATTGTCTCTCTCATGTCTCACCTTCCCATCTCTCCCCCCAGCTCAGCCATACATGTTACAGAGAAACTGCTGAAGCAGCACTCCCAGCTAGCTTCTCTCAGAAGCCTTGTAGGGCATAGTATGCCCCATCTCAGCCCACCTGGTCCTGGAAAACTGAGCTGCAGACATAGCTCAGGTCTGGCCTGAAGCTTCCCTTGCAGTGAGGCCTTTGCAGTCAGTTCTGACAACTCCTACATTGGGTAGGGTCGGGGCTCTGGTAATGGAGATGATCTAGAATTCCACTGAAAATGACTCTTCAGGCTCAGGTGCTCTGGACTGAGGGCTCAGTAAAACTACCCTATATAAAATGAGTAAAGGTGTGAGGGAGAAAGTCCTTGTCTACCCCTAGAACAGTCAGGATCACATCCAGGGTGCCCCCATAAACCTCAAGCTAAGCAGAGGGCAGCTCCAATTTTGCACCACCTGCTTTGGATAGCCTTGCCCAGAGGTGAGTGCCCAGAACAGTCAGCCTCCATTTGCCTGCAGAGTGCAGAGCCAGGTCCAGTTGGGCTGGAGTATAGATAGAGAGCTATGAAAGTAGGCAGTCTGAGACTGAAGGATCTGTGCTTTGGGACTTCTTATCCCTCAGACCTTTGCAAGGCATCTCTAGGCCTCCTATTTCCTCCCGCACCACACGTATAACTTTCACATTGTCTTCAAGTCCCAGGAAATCTTAACTATCAGGGCAGTTTCTGCTACTCAGTTTGGGGGACAGCGGCCTTGCCCATTACAAATCTAGCCCTTTGGCCCTGAGATCTCTGGTGTCATAAAACCTAGTGGCAAAATCACAACCAAAAAAGCTAGAACCAAACCTTGGTCTTGGGCTGGTGCCGCACTAGGGGTTTTAAGATTGGAGAGGGCTCCACAGTTATGCCTGACCTGCACTCCATCCCCCCTGCATTATGGATGGAGGCCAAGGACTTCCTCAGACCCCCCACAGGTTGCCTGGCTACCCTGGGCACAGGGTTGGATGATGAACTAACTGTTTTTAGAAGACCACAAACTCAGGAGATTTCGGTGGGACTGATTTAGGATGCTATGTGTTTGGGGAATGGGAGTCGGGAGAGAGGTAGATGCCTGCTGCCTCTTAAACCACCCTGTATAAAATCTGCAATACAGCTTCCATGTACCTGTGCCTGAAATTTCTGCAATAAAGAGGTGTTTGTAAACTCTCGTTTCTTTCTTCCTGCCTGAGGGTGTCAGGCCTGGGCGGACAGGGGATCCTGGAGGATATTAAGTAACAGGCCGATGTTTGTGATTTGACAATCTCCCTCTTGCAATTCCTGGGCTTACGATTCCCCTGAGGCCTTGGGTCGCCCTGCCCCACTTCCCAAAGGGTAGACCTAGGGTCCTACCAATTCACCTTTTTCATGGGGAGGGTCTGAGGGACTGTAACCTGGGTAGCTAAATTGATCCAGTTTGGGACTCAATGAGTCCATGTTCTGGTAATGGACATAAACTGAACGGGATGTCCTGAGATGCACAGGGATTTGGTTAGTCCAGTACGTGGACATTTGTTCTGCCTCAGCTCTGAAGAAAGGGTTACTCGGCCTCACCATTTGCTTGGCCTCACCCATTGACCAAAGGGTCCCAGAGCGGAGAAGCTTCCGCCTCCAGCCCGGAACCTTTCTTCTCAACCCTGCGCAGGTTCCGGGATCCAGGGCTCGGGCGGGCCGGAAGTGGAGGCGGTTGGTGGGGCTGGTGGGGCACAGGGACGCGGCGCGGGCGGCGGTTTGCGGGCGACGGGTGGACCGAGGTTAGTGACTGCTGTCTGGTTCTGGCAGGGCTGTACGCCGCTGTACTGTGCGCGGAGGTAGCGAAACGAACGCGGCGTGGACGAGGCGCCTGCGCCTGGGCCCATGGCCTCCTCCTGCGCGAGCATCGACATCGAGGACGCCACGCAGCACCTGCGGGACATCCTCAAGCTGGACCGGCCCGCGGGGGGTGAGCCAGGACACTGGGGGTGGGCCATCGGCGAGCGGGCAGAAGGGCGACGCGGGTGTGGGCCTCCCTCAGTGCCCACAGGTCCCTCAGGACCGATTCCTCATCCTCCTGAGTGGTGAGGGAAGACGAGGGTTGCAGCGGTAAATTGCTGAGCGTGCCCCTAAAGGGTGCAAATCCTTTCCCATCCTGGAGCCGGGGCTGTTCTGCCTCGTCCTTCAGCGTCTCTGCTGAAGGTGAGGCTCCTGCTCTGAATCCGCAGGGTTCTGTTTGTGTCCTGGCCCCAAGGTCTGTAGTGTTCCTGGGACTAGCTCAGGTTCCCTATCCTTGTGCCATAGTTCAGAGGCCTGGTCTGAGCTCCGTATGCGGAGTTCTCGGTCTAGACCCAGGCGCTCTGCTGAGGCGCCACTGGTCCCCCTCTGCAGTTTGCCCTTCAGTCTGGAATACAGACTCCAGGTCTGCTATTCTAAAACTGATTTTCAGGAGGAAGATGGCCAGCCCCAATTCTGTGTCCTTTTTGGGACTGAAGGAAATCACAGACTGCATGGCACTGATTGGATTAGGCTACAAACATTTGCAAACTGTAGTTTATTTCTATGTATTTAAGCTTTACTTGGGTTTGCAGTGATACCTCAGAGCTGCTCCTGCCCTCACGGAGCCCTGAGGACATAGAGAACTAATGAGATTGTAAGGTCATAGAATTGTCATTGAAAAAAAGTATTTTGGGACTGTGATGGAGATGTGGTAGATGAGGTTGGAGCTGGAGAGTGCTTGAGAACAGATCTGAGACCGAAGATAGTGTTTAGTTTAGGTGTTATAATATGAACAGGTGATTGAGTGTCAGGAATGGCATTCTGCAAAGAAGAAATAGCATGTGTGAAGGCACCAAAGTTTCCTGGCAGGTTCAGGAACCTTTGAAAAGTTGCAGTGGTGGAAAGACTGGCTGGTGATGGTGGTATGGGTATGCAGTGACCACAGCTGAGAACAGACCATAGTCTGTTTCCTCGTACCCTGTTCTTAAACCTGCTGGGAGGCCCAAACTGGCTGCTTTTGGAAGTAGGTACTGGTACTCACACTGGATGGGTTTAGCTGCCCCTTACCCCCTGAGGAAAATCCATCTGCTGCCTGAAACCACTAAGCATTTGGCCCCAGACCTGGCGTGTGTGAGCTTGGCTTGGACCTCTCCTGCTCATCACCTCTGTGCAACTAGAGTGCACAAAGCTTTGGTAGAGTCTGATGTAGCCAATATTTTCTAGCTTGTTTGTCCTCATGGTAGCCTGCCTGGGAGGAAGAGTGGCTAGCTTACCCCTGAGCAGCTAACGTGGCTCTGATCCAAATGAAGTGGCTTGCAGGCTTTCCACTTAAGTCCTTATTTATTGGTTGGTACTAAACACCCAGTTTGCCAAGTAGCTCTTGCTTGTCTCCTCTCACTGGAGGATCTTTCAGATCACATGCTGTTTTGTTACTAGAAACTTACTGTGTTTTTCAATGTGGAGCCCTAGTCTCTTTGTCACCTGGGAGTTTTAGGGTGGTGTCTGAGCCTATCAGGGTGCTTGTAACAGCCAATGGCAAACATCTGAAATACTGTCTTTCCCAACTACACACCCTGTCCTAGAGTTTCTCTCCACTTTGTCCAACTCCTTCATGTCCATTCCTTCTGAGTTTACGTGCCCAAGGTGTCTTCCTCTGAGCCATTTCTGTGAGGGGCAGGTTCCTTTCTTTCTTACTGCCACGTCTTATTGATGTTCTTTCATGCATTAGGAGTCCATCCTGCTTCTCTACCTTCTACCACTATCTTGGTCTAGGATCTGGTATCTCTTATTTGGATTCTCAACTGTGCTACATGCTGCCTTAAAACAGTTAATCTTTTGGCCATAGCAGGCCATGTCACCTTCCCATTTAAAACTCTTGTGTGGCTCTCTAGGGGCACTTGGGAGGCTCAGTCGATTGTGCTTTGAATCTTGATTTCAGCTCAGCCCATGATCCCAGGATAGTGGGATTGAGCTCCTTGTCAGGCTCTGTGCTGAGCCTGGAGCCTATCTGGGATTCTGTCTCTCCCCCTCTACCAATCCCCTGCTCATGTGCGCACATGCTCTCAAAAAAATTAAAAACTATATATACATATATATGTGTAAAGAGAGAGAGAGAGACTTTCCTGTGGCTTTCATTGCTACAGAGAAAATTTAAGCATCCAAGATTTATACCTGAGATCTCTGTAGCTTATTTTATCTCCATCTTTCCTGTTTGTGTGTTCTGCCACATAGGCTGTGATGGCACTCTCTCTATGAAGTCTGTCTTGACCCTCCCTATGACTTCCCTCAAATACACAGAGTCCCTCTGTGCCAACCTGAGCCTAAGTATTAATTGACTTCACTGGGTTCTTGATAGCTTTACTCTTCCTTCCGGTAGAAGAGCCCCATGTATATCCTCGGTCTTGACAGAGACTGAGTGAACTATCAGAGTTTATGGAACAAAAGATGAACCAAGGGCCCTCCTCCCCACTGACATGGTTCCCTCAGTGGAATGTTTTTCGAGCAGCTCATGGTTCTTGAATGAAGTTCTGCAGGAGGAGAGGCCAGTGGGGATGTGGAACAACCTTATCAGAGTGGCCCTTTCTATCCGAAGGTCCCAGTGCAGAGAGCCAGCGGCCATCTAATGCCTACAATGGGGATCTCAATGGGCTTCTGGTCCCAGACCCCCTCTGCTCAGGTGATGGCACTTCAACAAACAAGCCTGGTCTCCGAGCCATACCACCTATTAACCTTCAGGAAAAGCAGGTCATGTGAGTGTCTGGAAAAGGGCAGTGGTGGTGCTGGGGTCTTTGGGATGGTGCCCTTAACCACATTGTATTTGTACTAGAGTGAGAGGAAAGGACAAGCCAAAGAGCTTGGCCTGGATCTGAAGTTTAAGCTTCCATTTTAGCATGGAAATAGGCCCATTACCAAGGAGGGAGGTGAACAAAGGGAACT